TTTGGCATGCTTGCCTTCATTGCTCAGCCCTTTGAGTATAGGAGTTGGGATGTTATGTTGAGGTTGTACAGGACATTGGTGAGGCCTCTTCTGGAATACGGTGCACAGTTCTGGTCACCCAGTTATAGTAAGTATATTACCAAGTTGGAGAAGGTTCAGAAGAGATTTACCAGATGTTGCCAGGTATGGAAGGATTGAGTTATAGGAAAAGGCTGGATAGGTTGGGACTTTTTCCACTGGAGGGTAGGAGGTTGAGAGATAACCTGATAGAAGTTTATAAAATAATGAGAGGTATAGATAGAGTTGATGGTAATTGTCTTTTCCCTAATTTGGGAATTTCAAGACTAGGGGACTCATTTTTAAAGTGACAGGAGAGAGATTTAAAAAAGACATGAGGCAAATTGTATACACCGAGGGTGGTTCGCGTGTGGAATGAACTTCCTGAGGAAGTGGTGGATATGGGTACGATTACAACATTTACAAGACATTTGGATGGATATATGAATAGGAAAAGTTTGGATGGATATGGGCCAGGAGCTGGCAAGTGCGACTATTTTAGTTTGGGATTATGTTCAGCATGGACTGGTTGGACAGAAGGGTCTGTTTCTGTGCTGTGTAACTCTATGAGCCAGGGTAAGTTGGACCTATTGCTATCAGGCAATAAACTACATCCTGTTGTGCAAGTTAAGTGCCTTTTCACATTAAGACTCAAGAGCAATTTATCTTTTATCACTGCCAACTAAATAGCCTTTAGCACAGAAAGGAAGATGCCTCTTAGGAGCTATGAAAGTTGGCACGTGATTTTAAAATGGTAGAAAGGTTTAGTGGCAGCACTTTACCCCAACCTCAAGCCAGTAGTTGTTTCTGCAACATGAGACGGTGATCAGAGGTAGGATTGTTGCACAAATACCTGAAGGTAACAACAGTGAAAACAAATCCATTGGAACCAGAAGAGGGAAGAAAATTTAGAAAGGGAAATTTTCTACCAAGAACATTGCTGCATTATGACAACTCAGAAAGACTGTCAAGTTCTAATGAAGGGTCGCTGGGCCTGAAATCTTGACTTTGTTTCTCTTTCCACAGATATACTGCCAGACCTGCTGAGTTTTTCCAGCACTTTTTGATTTTGTTTCAGATCTCCAGTGTCCACAGTTCTTCGTTTTATTTTTTCCTGGTCTCAGACATGGTAAGAAGCGCAGGAAAAATAATTGGCTAAGAAGAGAGTAAAAACTAGCCAGATTTGGAAATTACAGACTCCCAACAAAAGAATGATCAGAGTTGCATGATTAAAGTTAGAAATCCCGATAAGCAAGGGGATAAAACTTCAAAATAATGGCACAAAAGCTTAGGCTGCAAAGGATAGAAGGCTGAAAAAGGTACTTATTCATTAAAACTAGCATTGCCAAGACCTCAAGCAAGCTCCAAGAGGCACAGAACAAGGGCCAGAACATTAATTTATAAGGAGGCCAAGTAGTGGAAATGTTACAGAATACATTTAAGGTGACAAAAAGGGAATTTAAAATATTTTTAACAGAGTCTAATGGAAGATAGAAGACATTTTAACATTGTGCCAAGACCAGGATGTTCAGAATATAAAACATCATTTCAGCAAGAAGATTTATTAAGGCTGCAGCCATAAGTTTATTTTAAAAATTGTGTGCACTATAATTTAGATTTAAGAAAAATGTCCACCTTGCCGTAAAATAGTAAGAAACCTCCATCTTGGCTGCAGAATGTGGGCAGATCTCCTGAAGGCAGGAAACCATTGAGACTGAACAAAAATGCAAGAAAATCCTCTTATACATTGTACAAACAATATTGCTATACAGTCAAATTTATTGTTGTAAAACACTACGGCATTGCCATAATAGAGAATTAAGATTTAGTATAAAATAATGCATCATTGCTTTAATACAGTTTAAAAGTTTGCAGACAAAGAATGTTCTCCAACTTTGCTATTATAGGATTTCAAAAGTTTGAAGAGACTTAAAGAGAATTAAACATTATTGATTTAATGCAAGATCAGCTTTAAGGCCATTGCATTTCCCTACTGCTGAATCATTACGTTTTTAAGGTTAACAGGACAGAGCATATTTTAGATGTGACAGATTTACCAACATTAATTAACATCAAAGGAGATGTGAGGACAAGTTTTTTACACAGAGTGGTAGGAATGTGGAATGCACTGCCAGGGATGGTTGTGTAGGCAGATACGATAGGGGCATTTAACAAACTCTTAGATAAACGCATGAATATGCAAAGAATGGAGGGATAAGGACCACGGGCAGGCAGAAGGAATTAGCTTAATTTGGCGTTATGTTCAGCACAACATTGTGGGCTGAAAGCCCAGTCCTATGCTGTACAGTTCTATGTTCTAACATTTTGGGGGTTACTGCTGAAGCAAAACAAAATGGACCAGCTATATAATTGTTTTGGCTAAAAGAGCAGGTGAGAGGTGAGGAAATCTGCAGCGAGTAACTTATTGCCTGACTTCTCAGAGTCAACCCGCCAAATGTGTGGCACAAGTCAGCAATGTGACACAATACTCACTGTTTATCTGGATGAGTGCAGTCCCAGGCATTCCAGGATAAGGAAACCCACTTGAATGGCACAACATCCACAAACATTCACATACTCCACCGTCAATGTTCAATAGAGTATGCTATTGAGAAGGTGCATGGCAATAACCCTCAGAGGTTTCTTTAACTGCACTTTCAAAACCAGTGACCTCTTGCACTTAGAACACAAGGGCAGCAGTTACATGGGAACACCAGCACCTGCAAGTTTTCCTCCAATAGGCCTGGAACTCATTCCCCTGTAGCATTCATATACTACCTGGACTGCAGTGGTTCAAAAAATCAGCTGACTAACATCCTTGAGGACAGTTAGTGATTGGATTCAAATACTAGCATAACCCATGATGCCCACACCATGAAAAATAATTTAAAAGCAGCTTGAATTGATAGGAATAAACATTTCACCAGAACTGTCAGGGGGAATCATATCACCATTAAAATTTAATGTCAGAGATAGGCCAAACACTGGACTGGGAGAAAACAG